GGCGGCGGCGGCGGCGGCGGCGGCGGCGCTGGGCCGGGAGGCGGCCTTCGTGGAGGTGGTGCTCTTCGAGTCCAGCCCCGGAGGCGACTACACCACCTACACCACGGGGCTGCAGGGCCGCTTCTCCCGCGCCGGGGCCACGCTCAGCGCCGAGGGCGAGATCGTGCAGGTGAGCGGCGGCGCAAAATGGCTCCGGGTGGGAAAGCGGCGGCCCCTGAGCATCTGCAGAGCGCTCGGGCCCGGGACCCGCGTGGTGCACGGGCAGGAACGGCAGCTCTTCGGCGACCTGCCCCGGGCTTTCCGCCGACTTTCGTTTTGGGAGAAGGCGGCTCGTGGGCCGCCGGGATGGCACAGGCTGCCCGGGAGCCACGGTCCCGGCTCTCTGGGCCCCCTCGGGGGTCAGCCCGGAGACCTGGAGCCCGATCTAGGAAGGCAGCGCCTCTTCGTGGACGGGATCACGGGGGCTGCTGCTGCTCTTTAACCGCGGGTGGGACCCCTGTTCGAGCCACGGATCGCCTTTGGGACTCCCGAACCAAGAAGATGGGGCCGCAGAAAGCCGAGGGCGGCCCGCGGGTGGTTTCTGCTCCGCTCGGGTAGCCATCCTGGCTGATCAGGGACCCGGGAGCCGCGTTTGTGCTTGCGGGCTCCATTCCAGAGAAGCGAGCCTCGCAGATGCGCTGGGGATGGGCCAGGGTGGAAGGGTTGATGAGGCGATGGTTCCCGCACGGAGGCTCCCGAACGCTGATGGGCAGCATTTGCCCTCGCGCGGTCGAGCTTTTCCCCTGGGAGTAAGAAACATGGGCTGCGTGTGCGTGTGTGTTGAAGTCAGGTCTGCAGAGGAACGGCTTGGGGTGGAAGTCACTGCTCAGAGGCCGCTTCACAAGGGCTGCTCCAGGTTCTGGATTAGGAAGAAGTGTTCCTCTGCAGTGTTCCCCGTAGAGCCCAGAGGCTGCCAGATGAATTCTAACAATTTGCATGAAAAATGTGTAATCACCTTATTAAAACTCGTCTGCTACTGGTGAACCTTTTTTCATTTCTTCCCCTTCCTCTGCTTATGGTGAATGCAACTTCTAGGAGTGCTCAGCTCACCCCCACCTCCTCCGTTTTCGGTCTGCCTCAGATCAGAGGCTCACATGTTGAAGCCGGCAGTGCTAGAGGCTAGTTCCTATCTCTGTGACAGCATTTTTAATTTAACAGGACCAGCTTTGATCTTGCATATTTATAGGCAGCCTCAAATCACTGCAGCCTGTACTTCTTTATACTGTAACTGAAGTTCTTTCTTTCATCTTGAAGCCTTTGTGGATATGCTGTTTATTTTGGGCACTGTGGAAAATGGAAGCAGAGGCAGGAATGAAAATAAGGCAAGAGGCTTTTTCAAAACTATGTATCCTCTGCAAGTGCAAACATGGCTGTGTTTGAATACAGTGGGGTAGTAAGGCCTGAGATAAGCCCCTCTGAGTTGTAATAACATGGCTGCCTGAATCTAGTCCGTGATTTTTCAGACGGCCCCTTGTTTTTCCCACCAGGGGCTGGAGCTTTGGACTTGCGCTTTCCCGAAGCTGATGTTTCTGACTGTTTGACCGGAGTTTCCCTGAGGCTGCATCAGTTGCACATGCGAATGTTGGGGCCAACTAGGCCTGCTCTGAGGGCAGAGGGCTGAAGACTAGGCCCATCTGCTATTGAGGCAGCGGAGGAGATGGTGGCTGCCCCCTTAAATGGGCATCCATACAAGGAAGATGGCTGGCAGCACAGCAGAAGTCCTGGCTGCTCTAATAGAAATGCCAGGGAAGAGACCCCTTCTGGGATGGGATAGGAGAAGGGGCACATTTCTCTGCTCCGAGAGGCTAAGGGTGGCTTGAATTGGGAAGCCATCCATCTCTTTTCCCCAACAGCTATGAGGTAGGTCAGATGTGAGAGAAATTAATTTTAGCTTGTTGCCATGGAGTAGGAGCATTGAAACATGGCTGGGCACATGCTTCAGAGTTCCCTTTAGCTAAGTCTAAATGTTGTTGGTTTGTTTTTGGCTTAGTAGATGGTGAATTCAACCATTGTGTTTGTAAGCCAGCATTTGTGGCTCAGGAAATCATAGAAACAATCCAGTATAGCCTAGACTCGGTAGTCCTTCCCACTGTGGGTCAGGTATACTAGTGTCTTTTTGATTCCCTACATAAATGATATTTTTGGTCAGTGCTACTGACGTACAGAGCAGCGTCAGAGGTCTCTGATCAACTGCAGCGCCAAAGAGGGCAGCTAACGGTACAGTTCCAAGATTGAAGTGGGGAGTTTGCAGAGCAGGAGAGAATGAAGAATGTCTCTGCCCGAGTGCCCAAGGGAAGAGGGAAAGTGCCCAGGGTGGGGTGCCTCCCACCACACTCACTCTCCTCCTGGCTTCTTGGCACCATTTCCATTGGTTCTGATGACTGAGCAGCTCGGACAGGCCTCCGAGGCTAATGTGTGTGACAGAGGGCTGCTCTTCAAGTGGGATATTCTGTCACAGTAGCGGCACAAAGTTCACATTGGAGCTTGTGCTGATTCCACAAGCGAGGCTGTTGGGTTGAGCCTTTTATTTCTCAAAGGGTGTACCGGTGATGGTAGAAGTTAAGAGCGTGGTGTAAGCTGTTCTTTGGGGCAGAAGGATGGGCAATGCCTAGTAAGAGAACCAGCTGTGCCGGTAAGCAGTGAGGCAGACCTACTGTAGCAGCATCTTTGCTGGCAGGTCCAGAACACACATTGTTGAGCAGCTGTAATTGTGGAACACCTTGTCTAGGATTGTGTCCAAAGGCAAGGATTTCTAACATTCTTTACCTTGAATCTTTGAAGCCACTGGATGTACTGTTCCACACTTGGGGCAGGCTGAGGGGGCTCTGTAAGACTTGTTAAAATGAAGGGTTTCCTTATGGACAGAAGTGGTAAGCATCCTGAGGCGCTTGCACAGGGGTTCTGGGAAGCCTGTGCCAGGGCGGTGTTTTACTTGATGCCCCACAGCCACTTATGGCCATCTGATGGATGTGAACATCACAGGAGAGCTCAAGGGCATTTTCATTCCCTTCAGTAGTGGGCAGGGGAGAAAGGGAGCGTTACCCCTTTCACAAGGGTGAGTATCTGGTCCATGAGTTGCACAAAACTCTTAATTAAGCTGAGCCCTGAGGGCATGGGTGTGGAATCTGTTTCCCTAATGGTGTGAACAGATGTGCAAATTCTGGGGCCAAGCGGTTTTGCCCGTGCGCTGGGGACAGAGGTATATTCTGGATTGGGACTATTTGGTTTTTTTTAACGATCGCGTAGCCATAACAGCAACAACCTTAAGTTTGGTTTCAAAATAATAGGAATTAATACTAGCTGTGGAAACAACTGTACCTATACTAACTGATAGATTTTGGTTATTATTCTTGCAATATAATATTTTTTATTACTGTTATTTTTAATGTCTCTAAAATTTCTCCCAAATTGAGGTGGAAATAAATAGTCATCATCATAATAACAACAATAATAATTTCTGCTTTGATTAGACTAGACTTCGAGTTCTGGATGTCATGCTGTAAAAAGAATTGGATAAACTTCCCCCAGTTCAGAAAAAGGCAGAGAAGAAAGGGGATTAGAATTAGTTCTGTGAAGGGAGACTGAAGGAGCCTTGGAAGGGAAGACCGAGGGGTGCAGTGCCCTTCAAAAGGCCAAAAGAATGCTACACTGAAAGGGACGATCCCTGTCCCCCATGGCCCCATAATGCAAGGCAAGGAATTTCTGAGTACAGAGATAGTTGGTAGAAAGTGACCCTCTCAGCTGACCCTTCTGCACGCCAAGGAAGGACAGAGCCTGCTGAGAGGTGTTCGGATGCCAGCTTTTGCCCTTAGTTTAGCTTCCTGCACTGCCCGCTTCTGCTTTACAGGAAGGCATCTTCTTCTTACTGAGGAGCTGATTCTTGGGTGATCTTCTGGTGCCAGCCTGGTCCTTGGTGTAGTTGCCAGGGAAAGGGGGAGGGCTGCATGTGTGGGGTGTGTGTGATGAGAACATAGTAGATGATCCTTTGGCTTCCTCTGGATCACCAGCACCACTTGGCTTTCTAGCGAAAGAAGATGTGGGCTCCCCCTGTTGAGGAGGAATCCTGCCTGGCCTCCTGCTTGTGTCCTCTCTGCCTTCCACAGCGCAAGTTAGTGTGGAGCACCACTTTGGCTTTGCACTGGAAAGGCTTGTCCCCACAGCCTCAAGATTAGCCTGACACACAGGACTCTCCTGGCTTGTTCTGTGGGTTCCAGAACCTTCAACCAACCCACCCAGAACCCCATCCCCCCACCCCCGGTCTGATGGTGAGGTGGGCAACACAAGGCACAGCCAAAGGGCTCAGGCACAGGGCACACAGTGTTCTTGGAGAGGGTGCCTTCTCTGGACCTCTAGCCAGCCTGATTATTTAGAGGGTTTCTGCAGGAACCAAGTCTCGCCTTAGTCACCAAGCTGAATTCTTGAAGCACTACACCAAGCTGTTTGAGTCTGGTGAGAGTGTGGGCAGTCAGCTTGGCTTTTCAGCCACACCAAGGCTCTTTGGAGGCTCCCAAGCTGCCTTCCTCTTTTCCTTCTCCCTAGCTAGTGTTGGTAGAGGTGGAAGATGCCTGCGTTCAAAGAGTTAACTCCTCCCTGTGCTTTGCAAGCAGCTGGCCCATTGCGCTCCTTGCTGGGCTGTACAAAAATACTCCTGCTTTGAAGTGTAGTCAGAGGTGGATAAGGGGAAAATCTGGACTGAACTGGACTCCCAGCTGCCTCCACCCTTGGCCCTGGCTAATGGGATGGCAAGACTGAGCCAGACGCTGCCGCCCCAAAGCACCGCAGCCAGCCACGGCTTCCTTCCTCCAGCTCCCTCTCTCCTCGTGTCTCAACTGGCAGGGGAGTCCATTGGTGGGAGGCGGCAAGGCATGGAATGCCTCTGGTAGTCGATCTGCTTGCCTCTTCTTCTGATGAATGCAAGTCTCTGGCTTCTGCACTGATTCTTGATGATGTTTACCCCAGGGCTTTGTTGGGAAAGGTGGCAGGGTCTCTTGTGGTGTAAGGGATGGTTTGGCCTGTTAGGGTACTTCCTCCTGGTCCTTCAAGCTTGTTGGCCCAACCCAACCTCCCCGCTTGCTGGCATCATCCAGGTATCTGGTACTAGCTGAGCTTCTTCGGCTGGGGCACTTCAGCTCCCTCATGACTTGGCTCCTTCTTTTAACATTCAGACAGTGCTGTTGCTTAAAAGAATAGTGAGAAATTTCCAGCGAGCCAAGCGTGGCCACTAGACAGTTGTTGGCTTCAATGAGTGACACTGGCTTGTGGTTCTTTGTTGGAGAAGAACTGATTTCGAGGGCCAAGGCTTTGGCAGTCCCAACGGTTCCTTTTTAGGTTTTTAATCAAAGCTTCATCTCGTAGTTGAATTTCAGTAAAAGTTTGATTTGGACAATCAGCAGTTGGTTTGATTCAGAAGGTAACAAATGCAAGCAATGAGAGGAACAGCAACGTCTGGCCATTGGGTGCTCCCTCCGCCTTGCTGGGGGTGGTTCTGGAGGGGTAAGAGGGTGTGTGTGCTGCGAATTGATCTACAGGGAGGGATATTGCACAGTTTCTGCCTCTGTGTGAGGCTCCCTTGGCAGACGGAAGGGAGGAAACCATGGCTCAGGGCTGGCTCAGGCTCCTTTCACAGTGGGGAAGTCAGAACAGCAACAGCAAATGGCTGCCATAATCTGGGTCCACGTTGGAGAGATTAAAGCCCCTCTTGCCTCACCGCCCTCATCTGCCTTAAGTAGCTGAGAGCTTTACTTGTTCTAGTCAGGCATCTGGAGGGAACTTCTGCGTTCCTTCCCCATGCAACTCCACTTGCAGCTGGTCTTCCTCATTTTTCGGTAGCCGACTCTGCCTGGAGATCGGGAGGGGGCGTCCTTGAACTCCTGAGCAGGCGGGATGGAATTTGTAAGGCCTCCGATGTGAGGAACGAGTGCGGAACATATCAGGCTGTGTGTGAAGAGCCTTGTGCTTACCTCAAATCCTCCCTTGTTTAAACCTCGAAGATTGGAAACATGTCAGTGATGCAAAGCTTAAAGCTCAAAGGGTCCAAAGTAGATTGTCCTGCCAGGAAAGCTTGCTCGTAGTTCAATCTATGGCTTTTCAGTAATTCTGTAGCTTGTGTATAAGTGCTTATTTCCATTTAGTTCTTTGGGTCTGCTTCAGAAAGTGTGGCCGGCATCTCTCCGCAAGAGCGGTTGTTTACAGGTCTTGCTTCAGCTGCACTGCCTTGAAAACAAACGTGGCTACTTTGTTTCATCACAAACAGGTTGCCTGTTGCCTTGACACCTTTACCAAACTGACCCCAAAGCACTGTGTGGCCTGTGATCCTTACTTGCACGGAGAAGGGCCCTTCTTGGTCCATTGCTCAGCAGCTATTGTGGAAGTCGGAGTCATCTGACCTAGAGAGCAAAGGAACACCCCCCCCATTACACACACACACACACCACCGCCTCTTAAGGAAGATTCCCTGCACTTCCCACAGACTGGAACTCTGGGCGGGAAGCCTGCTTCTTCCTTCCTATTTTGGCCGGGGCTGGGGGGCAGAAAAAGAGACCTGCCGGTTGGAGCGATGTTTTCCGGCCACAGTTGGGCCATGAGGCTCCAGGCCTGGTGATGAGCTCCTGTTCGAGCTTGATTTGGCCCAGACTCGGCTGGCAGGAATGGGTGCTGCTGCTCCTGGGGTACAGGGCCCCAAACGTACCCAAGGTAGATGAGATGCTATCAGCTCTCCTCCCACTTCTTTGCCCTGGAAGGATCAAAGCAGGCCGAGGCGCTTCAAAGCCAGGTAGGCAGAATGATACAGAGAGCGCTCCCTGATGCAATCACAGCAGCTTGTGAGACTGGTTTCTGGGTTTTGAAAGGAAGAGACAAAGGCATCCTTGTTTGCTTTGGAGGGGGCAGGGAGGAGGGAGTACCTACCAGTCACCCAAGTCACTGGCGGACCCTGGCTGGACCTGTAAGAAAGCAGTCTAGGCAGGGTTCTGCCCTGAGTTTGCTTCTGGCTCACTTATATCAGGGGCACCTGCAGTCTTGGCTTCTAAAGCGAAGCAAGGGTGCCCCTGGAAATAAAGGTTCAAATGTCTTGATTTGGAGCCACAGCTCAAATGTGTGTCTCTTGCATCTTCTTGCTGTGGTGTTGGGTGCCTCTAGCTCCTCCCCCACCCCACCCCGCATAACAGGACTCTTCCACCTGGCAAACAGTAAAATGGGGGAAGGGGTCTGCTCGTGGATGGGGGCATTGGCCAGATCACAGTAGGTGTGCATGCTCTGAAATGCTGCCAGGAGGGCTGTCCTACCCTCCTGGTGGCATATAATTCAGTTTTATTAATGGTTTGAACATATTTTGGTAGAATATACAGAAAAAAAGAATAACAAACATCTACCAGACCATATCCCTAAGTGTTTGTTTCCTGTGTTAAAGTTAAATTCTGGAATCTGTAAAAAACAAAAACAGGTATTCAAGAACAAACTTTGTTGCAACATGAGAAGACCAGGTAACCATTTCTTCCTTCCTTCCTGGACCCTGACTCTGATCTTCTGTGCGATCAGTGGACTTTGGGAAACAAGGGTGTGGGGGCGTGGACAGCAGTTGGGGGTGCCTGTTCAGGGGGCTTTTTCATCTTTTGCTGTCTGATCCGCAAAGACTTGCTTATCAAATAGGAGAGCAAATCCCCCCCCCCCCAATCTGACATATTTGCCTGGGGGTATCACCACCCAAAGGAACAAGGTACCTAGATTTTGGCTAATATCTAAGTTGTGTGTCCTTTCTGAAGGTACTTTAAGCCTTTAGGATGCTTGTGGTCTTCAATTAAAGTTCCTTAACCCCTTTGATCTGTATATTTCAGGATGACCTGTGGATTAAGTATTCAGCATGCCCTTTTCAGAGCAAATCACTCCTTTTTCTAACTGAATGTGTTTTCTGAGGGCTTAGAGCAGTACTTAGATCATGACTGTTTCCTGATGGGCAGACAAAACTGAAGTGAATTGTACATGGTGATATAGTGGGAATTAGAAGCATCTTATCTAATGTTTTGTTTATGTTTTTGGTGGGAGAGGCATAGGAAGAAGACCCTCCCAGCAGTACTGCTGGTGAGATTGGGTGTATGTGTATGAGGGTATCTGATAAATCTGTAAAGCAAGGCAAGGAAGGAATTATCTGCCTGTCCCAGATCCAAAGCTCGAATTGGAAGTGACCGGTGGCCTTTGCTGGTTCGACCCTCCTTGTTTAATGCTGATGACAGGGATGAGAACGGCTTTCAAGCCAGTTCAGTTCTTCATTTTTCCCTTTCCTTCAAATCATCCCTTAGGCACCTCCCAGCTTAGCTTTAGTGGCTGACTGAAAAAAAGATATGGAAAATACATTTATTTGAGTGGTGGAGTATTGATCGCTTTTGGAAATCAGATGTAGTTATGGTTTCAATTTCAGAAGCGTTAGAGATCCCTGAGCAGGGTGTCATATGGGGGCCCCCAGAGGTCCCTGAGACTCTTTCAAGGGGTCTGCAAAGTTAAATAAATATATATTTTAAAATGTTTCAGATTAATTTCAAAAACAATAAATATTGATAGTTCTAGCTGCCATAAACCAAAGCTCTTAGGGGGCCCCAGTCTCCAAAATGTTTGAGAATTGCTGATCTAGAGATTAAAATCTTTTGAGTATCTCACTTTTTATGCAAAGCCACCTGCCAGTTAAATGGACTGAAAGAATCCTTGCAATTTAGGATTGGTGGCTGCCTTTATAACCTGAATGCCAAATGGGAAACAATAAACTTGGCAACCAAGACCTTTTATCAACTTCAGCTGGGTGGCCCTGATGACATCAAACTGCTGTTTGAATGTGAACAATTGTTTGAGGTATTCGAGAACCATCTCAAAAATTAACCTTATGCCAAGGAATGAGAATGAGAAGGAAAGTGCAACTAGAGAACAAAAGCTTGTCTTGTAGCGGTGCAGCGGAAACAGTCTGGAAGGGATGATAATCTGTTCCAAAGGTCTTGGTCAAAGGAAAGGTAATTTGAATGTTCGTTGGCGACACACAAAAGCAGCACTGAAGGTACCAACCCTGCGGAGAAGCCTCTCTGATTCAATATAACTGTGTGGATGGACAGCCTGCTGTTAGCCACTGTAATCAAGGCTGCTTTAGATAGCAAAGCAAAATTACAAGATGGAAGAAAAAGAGTTGGAGCCCTTCTTTCTGGAAATAATAAACGAAGGTGATTGATCTCAGGTATTGCTTTGCTTGAAAATATGGCAACAAGGATGCATAGGCAGAAAAAATCTAGGATTATCATGTTCGTTTATGTAAAAAGTAGATTGAGATTTATTTGGATTCAAACAAAGCACATGCTTGGAATCCCTGGCAGCAGCATCAGGTCTTGCCAACTTGGAAATTCCTGTGGCAAATGCCCAAATAGACCCGCGGTCAGAAGAGAAGGGAGAAGGCAGGTTGCCTCTGACCCCAGCTCCTTTGTCTCAAGGCACAGGGTGTTGGATGCGCCTTCTCTGAATGTCCAGAGACGGTATCGTTCAGGAAATGTAAAAAGCCCAGACTTTTGCCTGTGCCAACATTTGGTGAGGGTGACATTACCATAGAATCCTAGGGCTGGAAGGGACCTTGGAGTCCTTCTAGCCCAAGCCTCTCTGCCCAAAGCAGGAGTGCTTTGGAATCCCAGACAAATATTTTCTTGAAAACCTCCAGCAGTGGGATATCCACAGCTCTGGGAGGCAAGCAGCTTCACTGATAAATCGTTCTGTTATAGTTTCCTTCAAAGCTAGTTTGTGCAGGGGATTCAGAATAGAGTCTTTGCAGCAAACTCCTGAGTGGAAGCATCGATAATTCCCGTTTGCTTACTATCCGGGCCATTGTGGCCATTCTGGGGATGAGTTCAGCAAGGAAGCAAACATCTTGCATAAATTCTTCAATCTTCATATGGAGCAGGAAAGCAATGAGGTCACGAAGGAAAAGAGCCACGAGTGGGATTTTGAGGTGCATTTTCACAGAAGCTCTCTCCTCCTTTCTTAGATGCATCCATTGGGACTCTGCAACAGCAATGATGAAGAAGACTTATATGAATACGGCTGGGTTGGAGTTGTGAAGTTAGAGCAGCCTGACCTGGAACCCAAACCCTGCCTCACTGTTCTGGGCAAGGTAAGGAGGGCACAGCACTTTCCTTGCAGCAGGGTCCTGGCTGGGGGAAAAACCCCGGTGTGGTGGTTTACAACTTGCTCCAAAGCAGCTTTCTACTCTTTTTGACCCCACAGCTTTTGTAGGGACTCAGTTCTGCACCAGTCACAACACACCAAGTTTCAGCCTTGTAGAACTGGTGCAAATTTGCCAGTGTTTGGGTGTCCTAGAATGTGTAATAGGATTCATAGGAAAATGGCAGAATGTTTATTTCCCCAAAGTCAGCGAGCTAGTCTTGTTGCAGTAATAAGCGACCATTGTGGTTTATTTAACGAAGATGTGCAATGTGACACAAAAGTAACCTCCTCCTCGTCAGAGGAATGCAAAGTTGTTAATTCAGTAGATTTTTGGGAAAGTATCTTGTCTGGTGGGAGGTTAGCCATTGTATTCTTGCCAGTGGTGGAAAGTTGCAGCTAGGCAAATTAGGCATAAATTATGTGGCTTTACTACAGGAGGCCTTTTGAGACATACCAGAGAGAATGAAAATCTTCTTTCTGATGGTGCCACATTGCTTTGCCTGACGGTGACCTGGACTGCATGTGCTTGACAAGGAATTGATGGGCAGGTGGGTGGGAGGGTGCAATTGAGGCAAGGAGGTATACATGCAATATTTCTGCAATTTCATCCATCTTTTTCAGAAGCAATTCACTCCTTACCGAATCTTAAAACTGAAATTTAATTTTAATTAATTTATTGCAACTTAGCAGCTGAGGAGAAAAGGCCTCTCCAAGGTCTTTTGTTTAAATACACATCTGCTTATACTGTTGGGGGCAGAGTAACATTTCTGTTTGAATCGGTGTTTCAGAGGGGAGGCCAGAAAGGTTGGAGCCTTCCTTTCCTGTAGGGCTTCCTCAGATATCAGTAAACGTGTTCCTTTGTACAACGTGTGAACATGCACGGCTCCCATTGTCTTAATGCGGCTCCCTTGTTGCTGCCACTGGATCAGGAGCTAGGCCGGTTAATTCAAAAACATCTGGAAAGCAGCCCAGGCAGTGGTTTGACGGTTGTGTGAACCAAAGAAGAGGAGAATTTGAAAGGAGGGGGGGGGGGAGAAGCATGATGCGTGTAGTCCTTCAGCTGGAGCTGCAGATAGAGTGGGGCCAAAGATAGCGGGCTTGGGGGCTCTCAGGAAGGTCTGATTCGAGGCAGAGTTTATGACGAAGGGCTTTTTTTTTGGTTTGGCCGAAAGGAAATTGGTCCTTCCTTGTTTCTCTGTTGGGAGATGCCAGTCCGGTTGCCCAGCAATGGCAGAGCATTTGCCAGGTGGGTCTTTGATGGAGGAGGCGTTATCAGTTGGGAAGGGATGTGCTGCCCTCTTTGTATGCGGACATCTATTTCTCACACTGGCCTCCTGAGCCCCCCAGCTTTAAGGCTGCATGCTCTGTAAACAGGGCTGTAAGAAGATGAGTGGCTTCTCCTTGCCAGCGTCAAACAGTGGGCTGTCAATCCCCAAAGAAGGGCCTGGTCCTCCAAAGCAGCCTTTGCCCAGATGCTGCTGTCTGCAGACCCCAGTTGTTGGCTCTGAGGAAGGGGCTGCCCTGCTGGGAGTCGTTCTTGAGCAAAGGCTGGAAACTTAAGTTGTCCTGCTGCGGAATGGCTCTTTGGCAAAGGAAGACCCCTAATTAGAGGCAAAGGGTTTCTCTTTTTGTTCTCCTTTAATCCTTACCCTGAGGCCTCTGTGTTACAGCCCTGCCTGTGCTTGTGCTGTGCTTGTGCAGAAAGAAGGCTCCTGTTGTGCATTGTAATAAGACCTCTTTACGGTGAATCAACATGCTAACTTCGGATCTGGGTTGCCTCGACCTGTCCTGGGAACTTCAAGAACGCCGCTGCTGTAAATGCAGGATCGGTGCCCCTGCTCTGCTCTGTGGTTGTCTCTTGAAGAAGGCTCCTGTTGGGCCTAGAGCTGAGGAATGGGCCAGAGGCCCGATGCTGTGCTGACCAGGAAAGAGGGGACCGAGCAGGGAAAGGAGGGTGTGGCGCTTTGGCCCTTTGGCTGGCCACCCCAGAAAATAGTCTCCCACAACCCACTCCATTCCCGAAGCAGAAGCTCTTCCACTTTGCATAATTTCAATGGATCAGGAGTGAAAGAAAATACATTTAGCCAGACAGAGTAATTAACAGATTTCCCGTGGAACCAGCCCAGGTGTGTTTGGCTTGGAAAAAAGGAGATAGTCATTTCCCCCAGAGACTTTGAGGAGAGGAGACACAGCGCTGAGCTCAAGCATGGGATCTGCTGCATGGGAATCGCCTTTGATATCTGCCACCAGGAGTGGGGTGGTCCCTCCTGGTGTTCCACTTACAGCTCTGCTTCTGTAAGTTAAGCCACAGTGGCAAACCTGCTCTTGAGCGCCCCAGTCTTACTTCTGGGGTTCCCCTTTTCTCTTGATTTAAAGCTCCCCGCCCCAAGATACCCTCAGTCTAGCCAAGGAACTGGGGGAGGGGGGTCCAGATACCAAGGTACCAGCAAGGTTTACTTCAAGGAAAACTCTTTGGAGGACAGATGAGCTTGGCTTTTGAAGACGGGTTTAGAATGAGCCGCTCGCCTTGCGTGCTGCCCACCGCCCCAAGAGACAAAAGCCTTGCTTGCCCCACGCCCTTTCCTCATCTTGGGCTGCGGGAGGCCTTGGTACAGAGGATTAAGGAGAGATCGGACAGCTATTTTTTTGGTATGACATGGGACCTCCAAGATCCAACTCTGTGATTCTGTCATTCTGCTTAATGGCCCAAATTGTCTTGTTTGGGGAGGGGGGCTTCTTTCCCTCCTGGGGAGCAGGCAGGTCTTCCACCCTCTGGGGGAGGGAGGAGAAGAAGAAGGAGCGGGAAGGCTGCCTCCTGCTCTGGTATGTTTGTGGCTTGGCCGCTTTGATCTCCTGCCAGGGAAACCTGGAAGGTCAGGCCAAGCTGCAGCTAAGCTCTGGAGACTGGAGTGCCAGGGAATGCTGGAGCGGAGCCCACCCACCAGACTGCTGCCTGTGGGTGTCATTTCCTGAACCAGGCACTAAGAAAGTCCGTGCGCTGTCCCCCTTAGGGGGCAGGAACCGAGGAAGCCTAGCAGCAGTTGGAATTGGACAGGGCTTGCCTGTCCCAAGGAGGGGGTCTGGGGCTTTCCCCCTCCCATCGCCTGCAGTCTGCAACTGCAACACCCAGTGGCCCAGCAGCCGTTGAAGCAGGCTGGTCCTCTTCATCAACAGACAAAATGCTGGGTGGCCTTCAGAGGGGACACGGGTGGCGGCTGAGGGTCTGCAGCATTGAATGAGACCCACTCTGCAGATCAGAGCTGGAGACTCCTTAAGGAATGAAGGGGAAGGGGAGGCTAGAATCTGGTTCGTGATCCAGATGGGATGGGAAGCCTTTTAGCCTCCAAGTGATGTGCTGCCCGTCATTGCCTGCAAAGTTTAGCCCTGCTCATGAACTCTCTCCTGGTCTCCTTTTCCTGGGGGGCTCTGGGTCGCCACCCCATCCTAAATTATCAGAAGAGGAAAAAGCAAGGAAGGCTCCCTTGGCTCAAGGTTGCCCTCTGGTGACCACAAGCGTTAGCAGATGGAGAATGTGTGCAGGGAGCGTGTGCTTGCTGGTGGGGAGGGAGCTGTGAAGAGACTCTATATGCTTTGGGGGCGCTTCCTTACTTCTGACGAGGCCCCCTTCCCACTGAATCCTTTTCTTCTCACCTCCTGGCCTTTATGTTGAGAGGGAGGGAGGGAGAAAGGGGAGAGGAAACTGGGTCAGGGAGCTGGTCTTAGGCCCTGTCCCCCTCTTCTTCGTAGGCCAAGCGGGCAGTTCAACGAGGAGCCACAGCTGTCATTTTTGATGTGTCCGAAAACCCAGATGCCATTGATCAGGTATGCAGTTGGTGAGTTCTCTCTCTGTATGAACATGGGTCAGTATATATTGTTCTTTCAGTATTTCTAGCAGCGGTAATGGAAAATATTTAGTAAAGATTCTTGCCTATTGTTGGTGCCCACAAAAAACCCTAAATAATTTGGCTTCTAGAATAGAATCGGGGCTCCATAAAATGGTTGCTGACCCAGAGGAAGCCTGTTGTCTGTTGTCTCCCCCGTCCCCCGTCCCCCCCCCCCCCCCGCCCATCCTCATGAACTTTGGAAGGAGGGAGAGCAGCCGCCAGCCCTGTCTGCAGGGCTGCATGGCAGGCAAGCCTGTTCGGGCACGTGTGCCTGAGATTTCCTGCTGCTGGGCCATAAGGAGCGGTTTGAACTGATCCAGTTTGGATCACCCCTGATGGCACTGACCTCTCAGGAGTCCAGCTTTGCCTTTTGTACCAATTGCAGCTCTGGGCTCATCTCCAAAGGCAGTGCCAGGCTGTCCCAAAGGCTCTGCAGATTGAGGGGAGGGGGCGGGGAAGGGGGTAGAGAGTGTGTCTCCTTTGAGTTCCTGTCTAGCAGAAAGACGGGGGGGGGGGGGAGTTCAAAAGCATTCACAGTGTCTCTTTTCTTGCAGTTAAATCAGGGCTTGGAGGACCCACTGAAAAGACCAGTTGTTTATGTGAAAGGGGCAGATGCAGTCAAGCTGATGAACATTGTTAACAAGCAGAAAGTGGCGCGGGCCAGGATCCAGCACCGTCCACCACCAGTAAGCCCTCAGGGCAGGGCAGGTCCAGTTAAGTGACCAGACTGCCTCTTACTTTAAGCTTCCACATCTAAGTTGTGATCGTTGCCTCACCTGTTTGTAGGGGGGAGGGGTTCTGATAGGTCATTTGATGGCCCTTAGTTGTCAGTTCAAGCACCCCTGAGAGGCTCTGAGCCCCCTGGACTTTCTGGAACAGTTCTTTAAAGAGTATTTTCTCCCTGAGTGCCATTAAGGCACCGGTCAGATTGTGGTGCTTTTAAGAAAATCCAAAGCAAATCCAGATAATAATCAACAATTGCTCCTGTGGCAAAGGGAAGAGTTGGAATAAGCCAGACAGGAACCTCTCTTGATTCCCAAAGGAGGCCGTGATCACCGTAAAGTCAGCAGAAGTGGTCACAGGAGGTTTGGTGTTTACCGGATTCCGAGGGTCAGTGTAGACCTATAGGGTCGGGTGGGTGAACAGGGGATTTACCAAATCTTATGATGGTAGATATTCAAAAAGGTGGTCAACCAAACTGCCTGCTCCGTCTTTGATGGAGAAGAGAGCAGCTAAAATAGTGGAGGACTAACTATGAATGGAGGTGTGTTTTCAAATACACCCAGAGGAGGAACTCGGCCAGTTAGAAGTAAGATTTTGGAATGCCTAATTCCCAAAGGCAAGGCACGTCTATTTGGCCTGGCATTAGATAGGTTGTCTGGCACCATCTCTGAGGAAGTGTCTGCTCTGGTCTAGGGCTGCAGTCCTATAGGTTCAGCTCCTGCCCAGGACTCGTTTGCCCATAGTGTTTTTGTACTTCTCGTGGGAAGCGAAGATGTGTGGGGAACCAAGCTTTTCTGCGAGAGATTATTAGCTGAGCAATTTCTGGGCACAAGATAGTTCTAGCTCTAGTTGTAAGTAACCAATTCAGAAATCTGAGGCAGGAAATCTAATCTGCCTTTTTTATCTCCTGCTTCCTCCACCCACTGTTCCAAAGCAACCCACGGAATACTTTGACATGGGGATTTTCCTTGCCTTTTTTGTGGTGGTCTCTCTGGTTTGCCTGGTTCTTCTCATCAAGATCAAATTGAAGCAGCGTCGCAGCCAGGTAAGACCCAGACAGACTCCTTCAACTTGCTCTTTTCCTCCTCCTCTCTTCCCTTCCCTTCTGTGCCACCTGAAATCTCAGCTGGAGGTTTCGGAGCAGCATTACATGCTGTCCTAAGCAACAATCCTGCAGGATGGCCTTAAATATTTGGACCATTAGCTCCAGGCAACCTGGAAATTGTAATGAGCTATGGAAGTTGTAGCCTAAAATGTCTGCAGGACGCCAACTAGGAAAAGCTGTGCTTCGCTAGCCAATTACAGCCAGAATAGCCCCCTTTCCTTTCCTTGCTGGAATACGACAGAGAGTTGGCCACCTGAGTCAGGCTGGCCCTGGCTGCCCTCTGATCCTGAGGCTAAGAATTGCTGCCCTGGTCAGCGGCAGCCTCACTGGGGTGTCTCCTGTTGCAGAGCTCCATGAATAGGCTGGCTGTACAGGCGCTGGAAAAGATGGAGACTCGGAAGTTCACGTCCAAGCTGAAGGGGCCCTGCGAAGGCAGCTGCGGTGCCCTGGACACCCTCAGCAGTGGGTCCACCTCGGACTGCGCCATTTGCCTTGAGAAGTACATGGATGGGGAGGTGAGGCACTACAGGAGGCCAATCAGTACAAATCATTTTAGCTTTTTCTGTATTTCTGGATGGCTTGGGCAAGATCAGCCAGCTAGGGTGGCTCGTGTCCCAGCTCCATTGAGTGGGACTCACTCACGTGAGGGATCGCCACACGCAGAGCTGCCTGGGTCTGAGGGGAGGCCTCGCCTATTCCACCCATCCCTTTGGGCACCTCCCTCTCACCCAGGCAAGCGAAGCAGTGTGTGTTCCGGCCAGCCCTTCCCTGGCAGTAAGCTGTGTGAAGAAAACAGGCAGGAGCCTTTCAGCTGTGGTGTTGCTTTTGCAGGAGCTGCGGGTGATTCCCTGTGCCCACCGGTTCCACAGGAAGTGTGTGGATCCTTGGCTTCTGCAGCATCACACCTGCCCCCACTGCCGTCACAACATCATTGGTGAGTTGCTGGAGCTTCCCTCGGCCGCATCCTTGAAGGGGAGGGCAGTGTTCAGGACTGCCAAAGGCTCATCTGCCTGCCAGGGGTAGGTGGGTTTCTGGCTGGCAGGCGGTGTTTGCCTTTGGGAAACTCGAGTCGATTCTCTCCAAGTTCAGTTGAAACCTTCCCCCTCCCCCACTTCTACGTGCAGAGCAAAAGAAGGGAAACTCCAGCCTGGTGTGTGAGGAGATGGCCAACCCGTTACACAGCCGGCAGCAGCAGCAGCAGCAGCAGCAGCGTGTGATTGTGCCAGTCCACTTCCCCGGCCGAGCACACAGAGGGGGTCACGTCACTGCCTACCCCACGCGCACCAGCATGGACCCCCAGGGGAATCCCATTACTGTCTTGACGGTCGATCGGCATGGAGAGGCGCCAGCCTTCTTCCGGAGCTACCCGCCCATTCTGCACCTGGAGCCCCACCTTGGCACAGCCGAGCGCCAGTCCTGCCCAATGCCTCACCCTTTTCAGAGGCCAAAGTTCAGCGGGGACCCTTTCTCCAAACCGGCTTGCTTCTCCCAGTACGAGACTATATTTCAGCACTACTACTTCCAAGGCCTTAGCTACCCTGAGCCACTACAGAGTGGTCAGTTCCCCCTCCACGTGGCTGCCAAGGCTCCCTCCCGTGCCTTCCAGCCTCTCGGCAGCCACAGGCTCTTCTCCCCTGCAGTCCACATTGCCCCTTCTGCCCAGACAGACAGTGGCAGTGCTTCTGGCTTCGGCTGCTACCACAGCCACCGCTCAGTCTGCAGCGGCTACCTGGCCGATGGCCCCGGTAGTGACAGCAGCAGCAGCGGGCGCTCTGCCCGGTGCCACTGCTCCTCCAGTGACTCCATGGTGGACTGCACAGAGGTCAGCAACCAGGGGATCTACGGGAGTTGCTCCACCTTCCGCAGCTCGCTGAGCAGTGACTACGACCCCTACATCTACCGTAGCAAAAGCCCCTGCCGGGGTGGGGAAAAAAGCAGGGTCCTGCGTGGGGAGGTGATGGTTCTGGAAGGTTCCTCTGCACTGCACCCGGTGGCAGGCAAGAGCCAGTCTGGGCCAGCCGCCGCCTCAGGGGACCAGTTGTCTGACTGCAGCCTTGAAATGAATTGTAGCAGCAGCAGCAGCAGCAGCAGCAGCAGCCGTTCTTCGCTGGAGCAGAAGGAGCTCTCTGAGCAAGAAGGCCCCCGAGTGCTCTCCGAGACCACTGGAGAGACCGGTCAGACTGGGAGGGAGCCTTCTGAGCGAGCATGTGGCTGCTGCTTGGAAGTACATGCTGCCCCATGGGAATTGCCAAGTAGGGCAGCTGGTGGCAGCAGCAGCAGCACGCTGCTTCAAGCCATGCCACTTTGGACAGGGGGTGGCTCCTTGCGGGAGCCCCAGCCAAGGAGAAGTCAGGGCCTGGTCAGCGTTAGGACCCAGGGGGGCCCTCGGGAAGCCTTGCCCTGTTGCTTCTATGAAGAGCAGCGGGTGGCCAACAGTGGCCCCATCTGGCCAGGCCGTTACACAGAAGACTGTGCAGTGAATGTTCGATATGTGCATGCGGAGGACCCCTTGCCAGGCTGCTATCCGAGCCTGCATGAGGCAGGCCAGTGCATCGCCATCATTCCTGAAGTCCGGGATTCCGAGCTGGCCCTACCAGTAGATTGCTACAGCGGCAGCAGCCCTTGGGAGGGGCCATGTGGAAAGGCAGCCCCCAGCCAGGCCCAGGGGATGCCCACAAAAGCATTTTGCGATCCAGGAGAGATACGGCAAGAAGGGTCACACCCGCCCATGGGGGGCTTCCCGCTGGAGGAGTCCCACGGGTTCTTTTCCAGCCCTCCGCAAGGTTGTTTGGAGGCCCTGGCCACTGGAGAAGGCCCTCAAACTTTGGGTAAGTCAGCAGCGCCATCTTGGCTGGAGGCGGGGTGGGTGGGGCAGGGGGGGAAGGGTGGCGCCTTTGTTCAGCCAAGCTGGTCAAGCGCCTCCTGAGTACTGTAGGGGGCCAATCTAAGCTCCCTTTGGCCACGTTTGGGCTCCCTTGAGCCTCAGAGCAGCATCGGCGGCAACGGAGATGGCCTGCAGAGCAGCCGCTCGCTGGACCGGCACAAGATCCGAGCTCCGACCTGAAGGGCCTAGAACGGGATTCTTGGACAAGATTCAGGACCGGTTTCATTTTTTCAGGCTCCCGTTCCCCAGGGCGGTGTCAGGCTGGGAACTAAGAAGACGCCGGTCTTGAGGCAACTGTTTTTCTGCTGGACTTCAAAGCCTCCTTTTGCTTGTGTTGACACACGATAAGAGTGACCCCGAGAAACTGGGGCTGCATGCTCCAGTCTGTCGTGGAGGGCATCCTTGGCAGACCACAGCATCCTCCCCTGCCATTGCCTGGGGACAAGAGACCCGGTTACGTAGCCTGGTGCCCTCCTTCAGTGCCAGGGATCCAGCCTGCCTTAGAAAAGAAATGGCACTTTGAAATAAACGTTGGAGTCCGAGGGGTGGAGGCCACCTGCCTCTTGTATGGGAACGCAGACCTCTCCTTAAGCCTGACTGAGACGGGTGGGAATAAGCCAGAGCGAGGCCGAGTTGCAACAGTGCCTTCTGCCTGCCCCGATGCAATCGCCGTGGGCTCTGCTCAAGCCCTGTCCCCCCACCCCATCCCGCTCGCCAGCCTGCCCTGGGTTGAGACCTTTAGCTGAGGTTCCTCCCAGTCGCCCCTGGGGTACAAGTGTGTCGCCGCTTCCTTCCCCTTGTTAATAGTTTCCTATGGAAACAGTCCTTCTGGCTGCTGCAGCCACAGCCACGTGGCCTTCTGTCCTCACGCGGCCGAGACCACGGCCGTTGCCACAGTCAGCATCTGGGATGCTGTTCCTTTTCCTCTGTGTGCCTGGCTGGAGAGTTGGGAGGAGGTTTTTTTTGTTTAAAACAGAGAAGGTGCCTGGATCCCCCCCTCCGAGTTTAATTTGTTAATGAGTCAGGATGAGCAAAGGGTACTTGGCAAACTTTTAATTTTCTGCCCAGTTTATGAGAAAGGGGATTTTATAACAAAAATATTTCATAATTATTAGTTTATTTTACTCGAGCAACATGATGAAATTCCTTTCTGAGCTTCGATCCTTCTCATTCTAACAGTGTGTGCTTGTGACCATGTTAATATTGTCCATTTTCCGTTCAGTAGCCCTGCCCTTGTGGCTTCTGATCACGCGGAGGCTCGTTAAGGGTAGGTAGCCTGAAGCAGGAAGCCCTCCTGTCCCACCTTTATTAAGGCTTCTCTACACTTCAGAAGTCTTTCTTCTCATCACCAATATGTAAAATACGTTTTACTTCTATTTCTGCTTCCCTTCCTGATCATTTTCTTTCGTGACAGCAGTTTCCATCTGTTCCACTTCTGTCGTAAGTGTTTTCCAAAGTATTTTCTAAAGCTTCTGCCCAGTTTAAGTTTTCTCCACATAAAATATTGTAGTCGTTGCATTTATGGTTACGGGCATGAAATATCTTCCAGTAGGTGGCGCCATCTCTCCGAGCAGCACCTCCAGAAGTGAGTTCCTAGGCCTGAAAGGGCCAGATTCTTACGATCCCTCCATCCAGTTGCCTAGTAGTTACTATATCAAAATCGGCTGCCTCACGGAAAAGCTGTTCTGGGGATTGCGGTTCTTAGATGTGTTTTCCAGTCCACCTCGGCTGGAGAACAGAGTATTTTAGCTCGCACGGCGAAGCCCTGCATCTCAAGAATTTGTTCTAAGTCGGTGTTCCCTTGTGCAGTTCCTGCTCGGGTTTGCAACCGGAGGGGAGGGAGGGATTCCTAGACCCTAACCAGCTTTTTCTGGCACAGCTGGTATTTCTCAATCCCGATGGTCTCAGTGCACCGTCCCACCTACCCCACTCAAGTTTAGTAGCCAGCACTTGCTACTTTAGTGCCTTCTCCTACCCTTGATCCTACCACACAGTTTTTAAGCAGCCCCCACACCCAAGTGTCGGTGCCCAGTCTCCCACAGATAACCGCAGAAGAAGCTTTTACACGGTTGCAAGTTATAGCTTCCTGGATCCAGCGTAGGTGATATCCCTGGAAGGGAAGCAGCCTCTTTGTCTGGGGCAGATCGGTGACGAGCAGCAGAGGCAAAGTCTTCCAATGTCTGTTTGTGGCTTTGGAGGTTGAAGATAGGAATAAGAGCAATTAACCTGCGAAATGTTTCCAATCCCCATTTCTTCCCTCATTTTTTATTTCTGAAAATAAACACATTACCGCAATGCTGCTATTTTGCAGCTTAATATGTCGGGGACACGGTTTTGTGTTGTTGGGGTCCTACTGTATATATGGGCCGCAGGCTCTGAATCGGTCACTAGGATTGGTGCATATTCAGTGTGGATGCTGGCATTTTGTAGTCCTTCCGGCTGACTTACATTTTAACTCTTATCATATATCTGTCACACAGTACAAGAGCTGTGCTTCTTTTCTTGGGTCTGTATGGTTAATTCTATCCAGACCTAAAGCTATGCAGCAGCAGAGGCCTTGCCATCGAAGGAAACATGCCGCCTTTCCCCCCAAACTTCCAAAATCTTTGCACAGATGCAGAGATGACACTCAAAGGACTACAGAGCACCTCCCTACCCTTCTGGATGACTGGATGATCAACCCTAAACTTGCCCTAACCTCGTGATTGATAAGCATTCCTGAAAGCGAAGTAAGCTATCGTCAGAAGTTGGAGCTTCCTCGACACGATGTCCTTCGGCCAATGAAAACCAACTTGAGCTCTCTTTGCCCCCTTGCCTTCATCCCCAAACTTCTTTTTGGGTTCATTAGTTTCCTGTTGCCTATTGGCCATCCCTTCATGACACATTTTTATAACGGTCAGTACAATATATGTTTTTATTCTAAAAGGCCTTTTTATCAAAGTAATTATTGCCACTATGATGGGCTTGCGAGGCACTATTTTCAAATAAATGTTTTTTTTTTAAGAAAATGAGATTTGTGTAGCACTTAAACCGTTTTGTATAAAATGTACCGTAAAGGTTTGTAAGATGGTTAAAGGGCTCTTCTCCATTACCAGTTGTATTGTTTTTAATGGTAGAAAACAACTTGTTTCTATTCTGTATGTATAGCAGCACATTTCATTTACGGAAAGATGTTCTCAGAATATTTATTTACTAATATATTTATCTTAAGCCATGTCTTATTTGAGTGCGTAATGTTATAAATAAAGAAAAATTGGGAATCACTAACAGAAAGCAATGTAAATAGAGATTTCACAATATTCGCTGACCAAAAAGTGATTTTAAATCAAGTTGTAACTGCAGTTTTGTAACGAAATGTACAAATGTGTTTAAAAACAAAACCTTTTAAAAAGTCAACCGTCTACCTTGAAGTCTTTCCTGAACGTTTTCTCCTGTCCAGCAAGAAGAAAAGTAACTTGAGCCCTAAATTTGTCACTTGCGGAACGTTATTCGGAAGGAATACTTTGTCGATAAAAGTTCCCAGGCAATCAAGGCATCGTATCGTTTGATCCTTCGCTTACTGACGCACGTACCCAGAGTGCAAATCCTTTGTTTCTTTACGCTATTAAAAAAAACTCGACTCTCTGCTTAACGAACACATTTAGCTTATGTTTCCAGAAGACCCAGAATCCCCTTTGGCAACGATAAAGGTGCCCGTTTTCTCTCCCAAATTTGGGGAATAGGCTCCCCGCGCAGTCGGGGGGGTGGGGGCAGGTTTTGAGACAAGACCGGATTCCTAGTCATCGGGATGTCAATTTTTAGCGGCCAGGATTTTAAGGAGCCATTCCTCTTTCGTCCCGCTTTTCCTTTTTAATTTGAACCGACAGGTCGGTCAGGTTCCCCTCAGCGTTTATGACGAAAGAAGACGGTCCAGGAGGCAGCCAGCAGCCAAGGGGGAAAGCAGCGATTTACCGAAGTACATTTTTTTTAAAAAGGGGGAAAGTGCTTTTTGCGCACAATGAGGTTTTATTGTTTAGGAAAAAACCAAAACGGAAGGCAACCCTGTGACAATCGCTCACTCCCCAACCCCACTCCCCCGCTTTCACCCAGGATCGCGGAGGCCGAGATGCGACGCCTGAAGCGCAGAACGGCAGGAAAAGCACCGCCGCTCTACGCTCCTCTTCAGGGGACGATTCGCTTCCGTTGTCCTCCGCACGGCTGCCGGTTTCTGCGCCAGTCTTGTTTGAGCGACCTTCCCAGTATGGCCGACTTCCTTTCTGTTGTTCTCCGGCATCCCACCTCAACTTCCTTTCACAGCGGCCTTCGCACCATGGCCGATTTCCTGTCCATTTTCAGCGGCCGTCCTTTGAAAAACGACCTTCCCATCATGGCCGACTTCCCGTCCATCCTTCTTAATCGCCCCCCCAACTTCCTTTTTCAGCTACCTTTTCGGCACAGTGCACTTCCTGTCCATCCTACGCCAGTGCCTTTGAAAACGACCTTCCCAGTATGGCCACTTCCTGTCCGCCGCCGTCCCCTACTGCCTTTGGAAAAAAATGACCTTCCCATCATGGCCGACGTCCCGTCCCTCCTTCTAAGTCGTCCCCCCGACTTCCTTTCGCGGCACGGTTAACTTGTCCGTCAGCGCGGCTGTCCCCCCGT